TCCCCCCCCTCCCCCGAAGGACAAGTTTTCCGCCTCTTTGACGCCGCCACTCCGCACAGAGACGATCACGACGATCACTTTGTGCACGTGCACGGAACGAGGGCGCACAGAGAGGTAATGGACGACCCAGCGTGGTAAATTGCACAATTTATTAGTTATTATGAGGAACATGCATGCGTATTTGCATGTATCGTTTATGAGTCGGGCGATCGTAAAGGGTGGGACGTGGCCGTTTAAACTGCAAACATCGGAACTTTCCGAACGTTATAGGGGCAGACGGTAGCTAACTTGGTTAAAAGTTTGATATACGAGTTTGAAAATTGTCGGGACTTGTTGTTGTTAGTTTGTCGCAAAATAAAATCGTGTTTTTTTATTTATTTTTTTTTTCTTAAATAAGTTTAATAATTCGAAGATTGATAAAATACATTTGTTAAATTAATGATATTCGAGATGTTTTCAGACTCTCGTGAAAAGAGTTTTTAAGGATTGTCTTTTTAATTTAACGTAAGAAACTTTGATCGTAAAAATACGAGGTCTAGAAAGTTTTTAGAGAGATACCAACTAAAATTAAATCTCTTATTCGATAATGCAAAACGTGAACGGATCTTAGTTATTCCGACGAAGAAAAAGCGGTAAAACGATAGAACGAATAAGTATATAATTGAATGAAAAATGATTAGTCTGGCTCTCAGATACAAAATTACGCACTCCAATATAACCGTATTATTGTATTTCTAACAGAGAAAATACTCGAACTATTTGCTTAAATAATTTATTTAAAAAATTCTTTTGAAAAATATCGAAGGAAATATTCGAGGCATAATATTTATAACAGATGGATTTTCTTTTATTCCTGTTCTTGCGTTTCGTGGAAATTTGAAATTGACGAGCAAAAGGCGGGAGAGGTACGGATCGATAATGCGCCGATTGATCTGCAGTAATTAAATATCTAAAGGCAACGTCGTGAGCGTAACTTGCTTTACTCTGCGCCGGTACCACGGTAAATTTTGTTATTTTCACAGTATTTTAATTAATTTTCATACTGTCAATATTTAGTCGCGTAATTTCCACGCAATAGACCGTGCAAACACAACTGTTGTTTGCTTCGTCGATGAACCAAGGAAAGAAAGGAGAGAAAAAAAAAAAAAAAAAAAGAAGAAAAAAAAGGAAGAGGAAGAGGAAGATAAAAAGAAAACAACGAAAAATTTGCGCGAAAAATCGATCCCAGTTCGAATGTATTATTAAAATTCTAATATTAATTAAAATTCATTAATTAAAATTCAGTATGTATGCTCTAAATTAGAAGCGATTTATTTAGCCGCGTTTTC